AACCCCCGCGATAGCTCGTTGTCGCGACTCCGCAGCCACGTTCCGTCTCGTCGACTCGAATCAATTATTTCAGTGGTTCTTAACCTTTTTAAGCCCACGACACAGTTTAGAAGAAGATCCTTACAATTAGTCTTGTCGGTGTCACGACACAATTTAGGGAGAAACAAATCTGACACAGTTCTTACTACTGAAACGTCATAATAAGAACTTCTTAACCGTTATTGTTCTAATTTTCATTCACACGGGCTTAAACTTGGAATAATCAATTGTTTTTTTGTTTGTTTGGTTGTTCTTAGTCTCCTTGATTATTTAATTTAAAGCGTGTTTGTTTTACGTTCTTTTACATTTCTTGTATTTATATATTAATACATTGTATAAAATTCTTGTATATATTACCTATTAGAATTATGTTTAATTACTTTCATATTTATAGAATCATGTTGTATACATATATATATTGATTCATATTTGTACTTATCAACTTCGTAATTACAAATTGTAAAAATCTTTTGCTCTGGTATATGTGCAAGATGACGTGTAGGTAATATGTCTTCATTATTTCGTCTTTTTTCACTTGATACAATGCCTCTTTTAATATACCTAACATTATCCTCACAGGAGGAAATAAAAGACCATCTTAAATTATCAATTATATTAAACTACCATTGCACTGACTCGCGTGACATCCACTGCTGCCGTTAGTGTGTTAAATAAATTATACTATTACAAAGTTAATAAGTGAAAATACAGTTACTTCAACCCACCGTCGATATATATTACTTTTGTAATTGCATCCAACTGACATAGCAAGAAATAAAAGACCTTCATGAATCATTCAGCATATTAATCTACCACTGCACTAACTCACGCGACATCCTGCTATCATTCGTGTATCAAATAAATTATAGCACCACGAAGCTAATAAGTGCAAAAACAATTACTTCGACACGTCGATCGCCACGTCACCCATGAATGGGCGACAGAACTTTTCATTATGTAACTAAACAAATTAATTTCGAAGGCGAGGCGGTGGAGAAAATAAATCCGGATAGGTTACACAATTAAATACTAGTACACGTGTCGAATGATTTAATCTTCAATAGTCTCGAGACCAAATTGTAAGTCTGTGGAAACGCTACCAACAAATTTCATTAATAATTGCATCTAACATCATCCTCGTAGCCTGACAACGATTAGCATAGAACGGCCAACGGATGGAGAGAAATGAGAGACGAGCAATAGGAGCAGGAAAAATAAAAGAAGAGTCGAGGGAGCAGCATTGCAAGGCGGGTTGGGGTGGCTTTTTTTCCATGTGAAGCACTCCGGTGATCGTCGAAGCAAGAGAAGGCCCATGCTCCGCGTACGAACATCCAGTTGCAACCTGGAGCTCACCCTCTCTACCTTTAACCACCCCCAGTGCAACCAACGTCGTGTCACACCGCGTACAACCGCTGCACACGGTGACGTGCACACATATCGGTCGGCCTCTCTTGTTTAGTTAACCGAATATTTGCCCAATGATGCGCATGTCGCGATAAGCTGACGGGAGCACACAGATAGGTGCCGAGTCAATGTACATCCGGCGTCGATGTACGTGTATCTGTGTATTTTCCGCTCTCCTCGCCTCGTGACATCAATTTTCGAACGGCGGTGTTTTACGTCTGTGTGTGCGTGTGGGTTCTATACTAGCACGTGGCTGTGGGTGTGTGCTGCGCATATATCAAAGGAAGCCGAACGTGGGGCACACTGTAAAATGGGGGATGAAAGGGTTCAGCTTGGAGAACGAGAAGGAAACGCAAAGAGAGAAAGCTGGCAACGTTGTCGCTGAACCTTCGTATCGGTACGAAACGTAGAGAATTTTTGTATCTTTGGTGGGTAGACGTTTTTAAAAAGAATATTAAGCTTGGAAGAAGAAGGGGTAATTTTGAAAATTTCTTATATCGGCGATTACAAAAAAAAAAAACAAAATTAAGTGTGATTAGTGAGGGGTTGTTTGATTCGGTTAGATCCAGACTTGTTTGAGGTAATCTGGGATAGACTAGGTCAGGTAATTAACATTCTTTCTTAAAAAATTTAATAGCGTCATATTATAGAAATCGCCATACCAGATTTCAAATATAAACTTTTCAGATATAAATTTTCTTACGAATACTCATGAGACTGTATATACATGCAAACATTCACACGTACAAATATTTATAATTTCTCTTCCCTATTTTTAGACTCAGAAGGGAGAAATTTTGACTAATCGTAACGATTCTCCTGTCTATACAAGATCTTCAAGCGACTTCAGACTTCTACCAGAGCAGAAGTCATCTCGAGATTAATGCAACAGCCAGCAAAGTAACAGAAAAGAACGTAACGAGGAAACGATGGAGGCAGGTGATGCGAGAGACGGCGAGAAACGAAGGTGCAAGATCAACAGCAAGAAAGAACCACAAAGGTGCGCATTGTTCATGGATCCCTCCGTCTCGGAGATATCCATTCAAGTTTGATTACGGACAGAAGAAGGATTCCATTATCCGCGGATTCTCGATCGAATAATGGAGCGAAGAAGGAACTCGAAAGGTTGAGGAGCCTTAAATGCAAACGAGAACTTGAACCATCATTGCCTTTCCGATGTTCAATGCTATAGCTTCGAGCTTGGAAAGATCATTCGCTGATCAAGGGAATCGTAACATTATGAGAATGACGTGGACCCTATATATTGCTGGTTGAGATAAACAAAACAAAGTTTAATTAATTCTAGTATTGATAAGAAGAGCACGTGTATTTATTTGGACAGGCTAACTATGTAGACATTTCCATTTCATTGTATTTAAAAATCTTAGTGTTAATTATTATTAGATTGTGGAAATTTATGCAACAGTATGAATTTAAGTCTTTAAAGTAAACACAATATATGTACAATATATTCTACAATTAATGTAATATTTTTACTTCATGTTGGATAAATACACGTACTTTTCAGTACTTTCATGTATATACATGTATTCAACATATTTGTATTATAAATGCATAAAATCCGCATTATAGCAATTATTATCCTGTAATAACACGTATGCACAACTACCAGTCATTGATCACAAAGAATTCTAACTATACCTAAAATTCTTTAATTATTAATCATTGCAGTCCAACATTGCCAAAATTATTCGAGTCATATTCGTTAGTAATTTCTTCAATTACGTTTTGGCCAACTTTCTAACCAACCCTGGGGACGACGAAACCTTCGACGAGACGCAAGGCCTCCTCGTGGCCTAGCGAGACGATGTCATCGTCGCCGACGACGAGCGTGATGCCTGGTGTCCACTTGAGAGTTCTACTCTTGAGAGTCGGTATCGAGAATAAGAGCCTTCCACACGAGCAAGCGGAAGAGCCTTCGCTCTGAAACCTGCCTGGTCGCAGAATCGGAGGCAGAATTTCATTCGAATAATAGAGCACGAATAGAAACCTTTCGTGACGATTTATTCGTGACGTTTATTCGATTTTACTCGGATCAGGTGTTGTTCGATCGACAGTGAAAGGGAATTTGATTTTACGATTTAACCAGTCAGGTATTTTTTAAGAGCGTACAGTTGGTGATGATATTATTACGAAAGCATGGTTACAATGATGCCCTTTTTGTTACAAAATATATTGTTATATCTTTAGTAACATATTATTACGATTTTAAAGCTTTTCCTAAGAACATTAATCACTATTACGAACAGGTAAAACTATTCCTAACAAAGGAAGGATATACTTTATTGTTATTGAAATCGTGCCAATACTGAAAAGATAATATATGTTATTTTCCACGTGTTGACAGAAAATAATTTTGATCATCCACTGTTATTGTCACGAAGAGATGGCAACATTTTCTGTCACCATTCGATGCTTAAATTGCAATTTTGATTTAAAGAGAAGAAGGGTAGTATAAATAAAACTGTACGTCCACTGCACCCTCGAACAGTTACGAAAAAGATTATAAAGAAAAGAAGAAAGACAGAACTAATTCATGAGATCTGATTCGCGGTACCTGATGCAGACAATTATCGAAATCAGAGAAACAATCTCATGGCTGATGGAAACAATCATAATCGTAATCTCAGTATCTACCACAGGTTACTTTTGATAGCAACCCTTGATCACGGTCAAGTGGACATTTAACACAATTCCTGAAACAAGTAGAGACAACAAATAGTCTCACATGCATAAAGGAGGATGATTATTAAATTCTTTATGCTTGGTACTCTGAACTGATAGAATTTGGTACATACTAGCGATAGGATCATGTGCCCTACTACTCGGGATAAGTTCTAAAAAGAGTGACTACAACCTTCCCCACGAGCAATCGCGAGATTCTCCAAGCGCTCTAAGTCATCGCGGCCCTCGATCAGCTCCCGCGTGATTGCGTGAAAGGGCCCTTAACCTTACGCTGTATCCACTACAGAGTAGCAACTCTTGATGGCAAATCTTTGAAGTGATTATCTAATATAAGCTTTCATGAAACAAACATAGAAAATATTTGAGTTGCGCGTTCGAATGAAGATAACTATTCAAAATCTTTGAACCTGATACTATCAACATATAAATTAAACCTAATACAGGTTCACTTGCGAAGTGACCTGTCCTAACACAAATTCCCGTTTCAGCACAGGTACCAAGAAAAACAACCTCAACTTTCCCCACGAGCGATCGCGAGACTCTCCGATCGCTCTAAACCATCTCATCCCTAGATCAGCTACCCTCCGTGTGAACGTAGCCTAACTCCAAACACCGTGGTCCTCTGCGGAGCACTCTCAACAGCATCTCCGGGGAGGGAATCTCTCCCGTGGACATCAGGCATAACACGGTAGCCACGGATGAACGAACAGAGCAACGGTAGCGGGCGCATGAATGAATAGAGCCGCGTATCCGGTCCACGCAGCATCCCTATAATCGCGAGGTCGCGCCACAGCGACCCACTGCCATCTTTGCCGTTTATTCGTCGTTAAGCCCTCCGCGGGCGCACGTACCTCCTCGATATCATCCTGATCTCATGCACCAGCGCCTCGAACGCCGCCAGTCTCCTATCTGGGTCCGCTCGCGCCACTTTTAACCCCCCTGGTCCGGTTCGCGACAGAGGGCGGCAGAGATACGGGGACGGAAGCAGCGTGGAAACCGAGAGAGGATCACACACATAAACCGAACTGAACCAAGGATGTTCACTGAGAGACACGAGCCCCGTTCCCAGGACGTCCTCGCGGCGAGCACATGATCCTGACTGAAGTGTAACGCCGTTTTCTCACGGCGACGCGAACGAGAACTCGACGAACACGTACGAGACGCGACTGTCGCCGCCGAGTGCGCGGATTTGCGCTCGGCCGACCCGAGCTGGGCTTTACTACTACCGTCCGATTCCGCTTCTTTCCCTGCCCGGGAGCCGAGGCGTCGATACCCGCGACGACGCTTGCGCGCCACCCCCGATCCACCCTTTCCCACCCGGGCATTTTCACAGCGCATTGGCTCCAAGCCTGTCGCCGCGACGCCACGGCGCCCCGCGCGAACGCTCTATTCCTCGCCAGCGCACGATATTAGGGGAGATCCTCTCGGCCCTCGTCCCAGCTGGACCCCATATCGCGATTTTACCGATGTCCTGACGCGACGGAATACCAGTCACGTGCTTTTCGGGGGATGTCGGTCAACGGGGCTGTTTGGGTGTTACGACGCGGGACCAGCTCTCGACGCTTTCAATTGGAGGCTCGGGTGCCGCAGCTGCGTCACTCGTGGCGGTTCCTTTTTTTTTTTTTTTTTATTTTTTCGTCCTTTTCAGAGGGCAAACGTGGGGAGAAGGAAGAAGTAATTCGGTGGAGATCGGTTGTGATTTCTGGACGAGCCTCGAGAATCGATCGGTTGGATGCCAGAGATCGTCGCTTTTACTTTTTTATTTCTTGGTCTTTTTTAGAAGAGGAAAGAGGGGAGGTGGTAATTCGGAGGAGATTGGGGGAGGTTTGTTGTGACTTTTGGACGAGCTCTACCCACCTATCTATTCAGAAACATTCTACGATTTAGTTTATACATTATTATATGTTAATCTAACAGACATTAATTCCTGTGTACTGTTACTAAATACAAAATCGAACCTGTTTCTAAAGATTAAACATTGTAAACAGAGAACCAACAACACGATAAATAAATGAATTCCAGAATGTAAACATTGGAATTAAAGAACCTAAAAGGTCCTGAAAAGTTTAAATACTAAATGCACACAGCTTTCCATTCGGATTGCAATATTTATTTTCAAGTATTTCGACCTCGACACTTTCATCAAATTTTTTACGGAAAGTTCTGCTTCAATTGTTTAACCGGAATGCACGAGGAAGTTTCATAACTGTTTCGACGACCCCTGGTGGAAAGTTGAATTACCACAGGAATTTATATACGGGGGAGAGTTTGCATCGGTTTAGAGATTCTAGTGCTAATTTTTTTCCAGCATCAAAATGTTAACCCGAATTTTAATAACGAATATCCCGGTGCTTTTGCAAAATCTGGCGTATCGGTTTTTAAAGAGCGTTTGAAAGTTTTACGAAAACAGATGGTTTCCCGATGAAAGGACGTTTCGTCCAAGGTTGTTGGCGGACACCGCGGCGAGGCTTGCAACCAGCGAGTTGCTTTAGATGCAATTTACGCTTGCCGCAATTGGCCCCTATATGGAGTCATTTGCTTAATGAAACCTGTGGGAAACTGGATTAAACACTCAGCTATCTAGCGATATCGCCTAGAGGCGGTGAATTCGATAACCATAACATAATATTCGGCTCGTTAAAAAGTGATAACTCGATAAGCGTGAGATTTAATCATCGAAATTGTATAATAAACAGAATAAAACTATGAGAAATTAAACCAGCTTCGTTAAGAATCCACCAGCAACCTTAGAAACTCTTTTATCAAGGGGACAAAATACAATATTTCAAACATAATGTAACATAATCTATACAGCAACATTCGAATTTTAAAACTGGCAAATACCATTTCTATTAGCACTCAAAAGCTTCTTTATACATAATCATCGTTTTCCTTTCGGATATTCTGTGCAACAGATCGAATATAATTTCCACATTCAAACAGCGTGCATAAAACGATAGTAACTCACAGGCGACGAGGGAGATTGAGATTAATCGTAGCGAGTATCGCGAGGACTCGCCACCCTTCGCGTGAATCCAATTTTTCTCTAGGTAGCTCCGAGAGTCTTTTACACGGTTATTATGCAAATCTAATTGAAAATTCGAGGCGTGAAGGCGACCTCGGCGAAGGTTCTTCTCCGTTCATCGCTGGACATAAATAACTGATGCGAAACACGCGAGTGAGAGCCGATGATAAAGTGAAACCACTTTGTAAGATGCACTCGGTCGCGATAAGGGAAACGCGAGGAACGTGTACCTGCGCAGATATGCTGATTCAATTATTTCTGTCATGTCGCAGCCCACCCAAGCAGACGTAACTATTTCATCCATTTTCCCTGGTTTTTCTCTCTCTATTAACACCTTTTCATCGAGATCCCATTGATATTCTGTTCCACGATGTTTCGGTTTATCTTTAGGAGTTCGCGGAGTACTGGGATCGTATCGTTGGACGCTCTGATTGATCTAATCTGATTTAACCCTCCATAGACACACTGTAATTTGGCGCCTTATCAGGGCAAACTGGATCTTTCGGGACCGGTTACCTTCCGTTGCGTGATATGCTTAATCGGGCATAGGTGAATCATCAAAGGATATATTCTAGCTAAATCTTTAAAATGAGAAAAACTATAAGTTGCATAGTAATAAATGACTTTGTATTCAACGGTACATATCTTACAACGTAAACAAAAATTTGGTGCGTGTCATTTTGTTATTAATATTCCGAGAAACTCGTCTGGGAAAGTAACGGAACGAAAATGGCTCGAGATTTCTAATGATATAATTCCAATATATAATATCAAACGGTTGTAACCATTGGACTGCTTATAATGACCACCAGGCGTGACAAATATGAGAATTAAAATTAAAATAAAACGAAAATCATTTCTTACAAAAATCTTCAAATACCCTCTTATCTAAAAATGAAGTAGAAAACGATTGACTAAACGACTCCTCGTGTGATACAAAATTATCCTTTCGTTCAAACAACTTGGACCACTTAAAATATCTTCATCTTCAATTATTATTTTATGTCATCTCCCATAAAAAAGGCATTAACCATCTGAAATTACTCCGCACAGTTTTAAAACACCCAGCGTGTGTAGTTGGTCGTTTTCTAAATCCTGTTAAGACGTGTCATTTAAAAGTGGACACACCCGAACGTCGTTACGTAAAACAAAGCGTTAAGAGGGAATCACTTTCGGATGAATCAACATTTTTCGACCGGTCGTGGAATATCCGTGACGTCAAAATTGACGATCACGTAATTCAGTATAGGCAAGGTCTTTGCCGGCGACCTTAACGAAGCCCCATCCCAGCGTCGTTCTATTCAAATCAGATAGGACCTCCTTTCATCCACTCACGTTAGACAGGCTGATTAAGTCTTCCCCGGTGCTATTTTCGTACACCCTTGATTAAAAAACCAGGAAATTCACGTCCACGGTCCCACGGTGCCATCGACGGGTGCTCGCTAATAAGGGTGGATTCATCGTCGAACAAAGATTCTAATCAACGCCTTGGAATTTAATTACTTAATTCGGATTGGAGGCGTAGCGTCGCCGAAACCCTTTTGCAAAGAAACGACGTCTTCGTTGAGAGATCGTTAGCTCGACGGCGAATGATCGATCACGAGGAAAGCTTCGAGGTGTGCTTTGCATTCTGAGGCGAAACGTATTCTGCGGAGAAGAAACGAAATCGCGGGACTGAAATAGTTCAGAGGGCAGAGAAAGTTAGTTCAAGCTTTGGAAAATTATAATTTACAATAATTGTTGACTGGATAGGATCTATTGAAATGTTCTCAATTTCAAATTTTTAGGCCTCTTTAGTGTGTGAAGAAATCTGTATGTATTAGACTCTCATGTATATGTAATACGTAATGATACGAATAGAAACGCCTTGGATTTTTTGGTAATTTAACATTCTCCAGTTCTGAGATAGAGTGGCGTCATGTAATACTCGTGTAAACAATGACAAAGCCGCACTTCATTAATTTAAGATATTTTTGACTGAAAAAATTACGACACATTCTTCTTTCGAGTATCCGTAAACTTATCATCGAACAATTTTTCGTTTGTCCAACAAAATTCTCAAATGTGTACCACTTTTGAACCGTCCTAGGTACGCTTCCCCGCTTAAGCAACAAAAACATTACCGCAATAAAAATCAATTTTGCAACCCCAAAAAGAGATTAGGTACCCACTGAAATTCGTGTTATCGTTCCATTTTTGTATCGAGCTCTACGTCCAGCGGAGGACCGCGCCATTGTCTACCTTCAGATACGTTCTATTTATAATTTCATCTCCAGCGATCAGGAACGTGGTTAAGGGTCTTCCCGAAAAATCCCCCGAAAGTCGCCAGGGTAGAATACGTCATACCTCTGGAGGATGACGCGACAGGCCATTGAATCATTAAATTTGGTTAAAGTTACGTTTTCATTCTGGACGACGACATGTACACATCCGATGCATGTTCGCTCATTCTGAAACCACGGCCATTGTGCCGCTCAAATTGGCACATCTCTGATTAGAAACTTGTGCAGCTGTTCATTGTTACACGGTCTGCGGCGACGTATGCGATGATACAACGCCCATCGGCGACGATTTAGAAGAAACTTCGCCGCGCGAATCTGATTAGTCGAAGGAGGCCATTGCCCAGTTTGCGTTACGCGTCTATCGCATCTCAAATATTGCAACGATAGATGTTCTATAGATAGATATTTTTTACCTTTTTCTTGTAAAGCCACGAAGTTTGCACGTTCTTGTTGAATATGATAGGTCAACTGACTCGGTGCATGTAGCATTTACATTGAAACGCTATTTATGCTGTGGATATTTATGCATTTATGGCAAGTGTAAATATGGGATAATGTACGAGGATGTGCATACATGTAGAAATACATGAAAATATATAAAATACAGGTTACACTGTGTAGGAAGTAAGACGTAATTTCATTTAAATCTCAATTCTTTATCCAGCTCTGTAAAAATATGTATTTGCATTAACATCCACAGCCTAGTTATAACTTTTATCATTATTCTTATTTGGTTATTGATGACAATAAAAATGTTTGATGACATCAACAAAGCATTTCACGTATCTTATTTCTTTTTTCTATGAATAGTAATTGGTTCTATTTGATACGTATTTATCAGTACCATAAAAATAAAAATCAGAAAAATAACCCAAGCGATTTTCTTTCGAGTTATCCGTCCTAATAGCGAAGAAGGTCTCGGATCACTGGTCAGTCGACGAGTGATTGCGCAAGATGCAAACCCATATCGCGAGGCATAAGGGTGTCCCGAGTCGTCGAAACGCACCGAACGCTTATTGATCTGCTCGTGTACGTGAGAGGAGAGAAGAGAGACCAGGAGTCCAAAATGACGCTCGCGGTCGTCGTGGATCGTGGATTCTGTGGCGACCCCGACGAAGGTCTTCGTCAAACGACCTCGTCAACCGAATGTGTGCCGAGGACACCAGGAAGAACCAAGAAAACTGACAGTCGAGCTTCTTGCTCGTACCGTTTGGGTCCTTTGACGCAAAAGCGAGCTGTGGCTTGATGAAGTCTCGCCTTCGTAACGAACGTTGCATGCGGTTCGGTAATGAACGTTTGAAGAAAGGATGCTAGACAGGTGCCAGAAGAGGCGTTGCTTTTGAGCCAGAGGATGAAAACGATGCTAACTTTTATTTTAGGAGATCCCTTCAGACCTGGTTTACACTGCAATGTACATTAATTTTAAGGTATTCAAAACCTGAAAAAGATAATTGATAGGTTGAGTACTGTCAACCCTTTGACTTACGATTTACTGTAGGATCACGTGGCATAATCTGGTATACAATTCCTTTCGTATTTTCATAAGACGTGTCTGACTCGTGCTTTTCATGTTCGACTCAAATTCTGTAAAACGGTTAATGATTCTGCGTGTTATTGTACATCTTATCTACGCATGACTACAGTCGAGGTTGTAAGCTGGATCCCCTAAATAACTCTCCCACGTGACAATTTCAATATATCCCATTAAATTTTGGAAACTTCGCTGGATTCAAAGTTACGAAAGGCTTGAAATTATCATCTGGTTCCAACAATGTCGCCCAGCGCCGAACAGAAACAACGGTTCCTTTGGTAAAATGACTTTATGGTAAACCCAGAATGCGTTTCGTACATGCATACGCGTTTCTCGGTGGTTCCTGAGGACGAATCGCAACGCTGCGACGACTGCTTTAGTCGCGAACGCGGGTAGAAGCTGTCGGTGCTAAACAATCGGGGGTAAATGGAATCGGTCGCGCTTCGGTGGCTTCCCTAGCTGTTATTAGCCACCGTGGCAGCCTTGTGCGGATATTTCCCGTATATTTTGCCGCTTCTGGTCACTCGATAGTGTATCTGCTGGCTCTGTATGGCCGACGATAGGTTGTTCACGTGAGGCCCGTCGCCGGTACAGTATCTCTTCACCTTCTTGATCGCGTGTTTGTATTTCCGCTGCAATATAGGATTTTCAAGCTTCAGCCGCGGCTGCTGCTTCGTCTGCGTCACCATGGACGTCTTCGAGACGGCAGACGACAAGGCGTTGCGCTTCTTCAGGAGTCTCAGAGGCGACACGGCCAGGATCGCTTTGGTCACGCTTCTTCTGCAACGCCAGAGAACCAATGCTGTGGCGAACCACGCGAACCAGGGACCGGCCTTCGGACCCGGTACTGGCTCCCTCGACCAGAGAAATAACATCTAGCAGAGGAACGATTACGATTAGCTTAGGGAAACGCTTGGCGAAGCAGGCGTCGACCCTTTGCACTCAGACCCATTTCGTTTTTTGGGGGGACAAATTTTTCAGAAGAATTATTTTAGGGGTTCTTCAATGGCGGCACCTCTAACTACACACGGACGCACACTGATTTCTGTTCGTTAAGGTAGTTGTTCCCCGTTGAAATTTTTGAGTTAATTGACCATCTAGTTTACGAGATACATGATTAATCAAAGTACGAAAATATGTAAAATTCTACGAGAATGGCAAATTTCTGACGATACGAATATTTATGGGACCGACTATCTGAATACGTGTACCATATTTTTACTTGATGTTTCGTGATATTGGAATAGAAACCTTCGTACCATCATACACTTTTACAAACTTTACGCTCCCGTAAGACATCCAAGTGCAAAGGGTCAAAGGTTAAGGGGGGTACTCTTTTTGTTTGAACAGTTTCGAGGCAAGTTTTACGATGCGTTTGCTATTTTATAGGATTTCTGACGAGATTAATGGTATTCAGAAGTTTACAAGTATTGGGATTCATTCATTGTAAGAATTTTAAAAAACTTGGCAACTTTACTAACACATCATAATTATTGTCTCGTATTCCGGAATCAGATATAGGCCAAATTTTGTTACGCTTATTTCCAATAGTTTCTATATAAATTTTAGAAAACGAGTCATTATTTAGGATATTTAGGATTATTTAAGCCTCTTAAATTCAGAAAATCTGGTAATTTGATTACCGAAGATACAAACTCTGTAAATTGTGTAGTTATGTCTGACAAGGCGTGGTTTGATTTAAACAAAAATGAAAACAAGCAAAATTGTCTCAGCTAATGAAAATTCCGAGACAGCTATCCAGTGAAATTGCACGTAGGATGTGCAATTATGTGGCCACTACTGCACAGTGTGGTATGCGGTATCCACATTATAGTTTTGGTAAGGCGCAGAGCTTGCATCAATAAAAGTGGACGGTCTCTAAACCAAAATTATTTCTACAAGCTCATTCGCACGTTAAAATTTTGAATAAAATTCCTGATGTAATAAAAAGAAATTTAAACGGGAGAAATACTCACATTTGTTTTGTTAGTTAATCATTAAGGTAAAAGAGTATAAATATGAAATGGAAAAAGTGGAAAAATTTTTAAGTTAGCACGTTATAAGGGTGACACTGAAATAAAGAGTCAAGTCTTCGTCATTATCCTTCAATCCTAATCAGAAGCATATTTAACGAATTTCAAAGTCATCATCATTTTTTAAACGATGTACTTTCATTGACATCGAGATGAAGCTTATGAAAAAGATGAAAACCGCTGATAATTGCATAGCAAAAACCTATATTAAAATACGATGTGAAAAAGTAATTCGCCCCATTGCTCTAAAGAATATTAATTACTAGGATACAATTTCCAACGTAACTTTAAGAGGAAAAACGCGAAACGTCCCGAAGCTAAAGTGTTAATTTACGCGCCACTCTATGGTAACAGGGTGATTCTGGAAACTGGAACAAGCCGTATCTCTTTCCTGAGCGTAGATACAAAAAATGTCTAGAGGAAAAAGTTAAATCTCCCACGTCCTTCCATCTAAATGTGGTTAGTTGGTGGTGATTTTTATTTAGCCGAACGGTGTAAGTGCAAAGTGTACTTGCAAATTTTGTTCTTAATGGAACCCACGTGCAAAAGTGTTAGGTTACCATCATCGATAAGTTGTTACTTCTTCATTTAAAAATGGCTCGACATGGAAAATTTAACTCTTCTCTTCAAAACTTTCTTGTATCCTAGTTTTTAGAATCACATGCATTCTCTACATTGTGCAATAATATAATAATAAAAAAAAATATACAAACTAAATTAAAATTTCTACTCTTCCTTTGCCAGTAAAAATGCTTTCGCACAGTACTGTATCAAATATCGTCCATAATTTCACTCAGAAAGCAAAATTTGGCCTTCTCTGACCGAGATACAAGTTCTCAAAGCGAGTCGGGACGAGGAGACACGGACAGCCAAGGGGAGACGAGCCAGAGGGTTGCTAGAACGAGGCAAGGGGACGCAGAGGAAGATCGATTCCATGACCGTCGCGCTTTTTCAAGGCTCCGAGGCACAAAATCCACGCTAATTCGTTTAGGGTGACCGAGAGCATAGATCACGGCGCTAGGCCGAGTCCACGACTTTTATGGCTCCCCGAGTCTCGTGAATACCGTTTTCGCTGGTGGCAGCGCTCGCTGCGTTCCCTCTGTTCCCTTCTATACCGCGGTTGACCCATTTGGCAAAGACCTCCGCCAGGGAGGATTCCGCATTAGCCCCGCGCGCGCGTTTTTACCGCTAAGACTGACCTTATAGATCCACTCGTTGGCGCGCTGCCTGAAACTCAGGGGTCGATCGACTGGCCGAAACATAGAATGGCCGTGAACGATGACTTACTGTGAACGGTAGTTGAACCTGTTACAAAGGGAGAGAAACGATCCTGATCAATGCGCAGCGAAAGGTCAGGGTGAGTTAGCGAGCCGCGCGTAAAGCGATTTCTCGGTCAAGTGAAAACCGCGCGGGTTTTAAGGCGGTTCCGATTGTTCCGTTCGCCGGCGAACTTTCGAAAGCAATTGCTATACTTGGATCGAACTCAATTGGCCGCTCAAGGTCGCTTCCCCCGACTGTGAATCATCGACAACTCTCGCCCCACAGCGAACATCTACGGTACCTTGGTAGGAGGGTATTTTGATAAAGAAATGGTCACTTTGTGATATCCATGGTATCCAATTTGTACGTATGCTAATTTAGTACTTTAATTGTTTTCTTTAAAATTTATTCCGATGCTCAAGACCACTTCCCCCAGCTGTAAATCATCTCGCATTAAATTCTTACCCCCCCCCCTCCCCCCAGCAAGCATCCAGAATGAAATGATTACTTCGTGGTGTCCATGGGGAAGTTTGTGTGTATACCAATTTAATTCTTTAACTGCTGTTTTATTTCTAAGGTGTTCGCAATTTGATTGACTCGATTCTTAAATAACTCGTGCTGCGGTTAACAAATAATTATGCTTTCAGGAAACCTGTTACAACTGGCTATTTTTAATGTGTTTGCTTTCGAATTGAAAAAAAAGAGTGGATGAGATCTGTCCGCAACAAGTATCGATCCATGAAAACGAAAACAAACGTGCTCGGTTACCACAGCAAGAACGTAGATTGACTTCCTGTGTCGCGGGAACTCAATTCCGATTGCAGAAAAAAGACCGTCCGCGCGGAGCAGCTTCGTTCCGTCGTCGGGCAACTACGAACAGAATACCCAATGGAAAAAGTAATTTATTGAAAGAAACGAGCGTGTCGCTTCCACTGGCAAAAAAAAAAAGACTCGCGAGCGGAAGAAAAATGAGACCTTAGCTCGCAACTGTGCTTTGGAAACTGCTGCACGAAGTGTGTATAGTCCGTTTGATAAATTACTGGATTGAACTTCTGTCGCTAACACTGTGTAGACATCGAGGGTTATTTGTTCGTTAGGATTGAGCTGTCAACTGTTAAGGTTTTAGCAAAAAGGACGAGTTCAACAATTGTTGATATCGTGGTGGCAATGGTTTAAATATTGAGACACTGATACAAATCTGAGTGGGTAGAATAGTATGTTTATTATGTTGTATTAATTTGTTGGGTTATAGATAAGTTTATGTTAGTGTATATATTTACTTTTAATTACGTTTGATTGTCACACAGATTGACTCTAAGAGAAAATAAATGTTCGCAAGGTACTCTTTAAATATTTGCAACAGCAATTGTTCAAAATGATGATGATTTAAATGCCTCGTCAAATATATTATTCTACCTACTTCTAAACTCTTTGCATATATCTCACTCTATTTTATTTTTATTTCCATGTTCATGTTCCCTCCAAGGTTTTTCTGTCTCCATATTTTTCACCTTAATTTAGAAACCTTCTCCATATTTTAGTTACTATTGACACGAAAATACCTGAAGAGCGCTCCAGAAAGGAGGGCAAACCATCGCTTCGAATAAAATCCTCAACAAATTACTACGCGGTAACTACCTTTCTTTGACATTCGCAAGATCTGTTTAAATAACGAAAACCACAAAGGGTGCCAAAATAAAGTCCTCCGCGACAAGGACACTCCAAGTGAAGATCTCAAAATCAACACAGTAGAAATAAATTCCAAACGCACGAAAATGCTTCGTATCGATACAAGCATTGTTTCGTTTTTTGCACTGTCAGACTGGTTATTTGTTAGGCGGATTGTTCATGGCCATCGAGGTAAAACGCGCGTACACGCGGTGCACGAGCTGGAAGACGAAGTATCAGGCCACCGACGCGAGGCAGTTGACAGTCGATAGGAGTTAATTATTTAGGCCGACTAACTGCGACCAGAATTCGCGGCTGTTATAGTCAAGTAGATAAGAACAAAGGACGGGTCTTGCGAAAGGAAACGTAGGAACGTTAATGGCCTTTCCAGCGAGGAGAGCTTGACAAATAGTGGTCGACGGCGATGAAAGAACGGCTGCGTTTCGTTACGTACCCGCGTAACGAGTTCGATCTCTCATAGTAGGAGAGGGTCGAGCCATAAAGAACCCCGACGATGCAGAGGACAGCTCGAGTAGGAGTTTTGTGACCATCGATGTGTAAGACGTATCGCGGTCGACTGGAAACGAAAGGTGAAACGGAAGTAACGAGAACTGAAGCTTGCGTCCCCCTGATACGTGAACATCTTTATTAATATTTGGATGGTTCCTACTTCGTACCAGCCGTTTAAGTATCGCTAACTTGGCGTGGTTCGTAAGAAGACAATTTTTGTATGAATTTTGAATGGTAGCGATGATTTTGAACGATGAGTGATATTAGTTATTTTTGATTTATAATTTTCAAAGAATAAGGATCAATGACGATTGTGTGTATATTAATTTAAAGCGTTAGGTCGAACACTACTAGAGAAATTTAGTGTATTGCTCGGGTGTTACTAAAAGTTGTCTTTACTAAAATTATTGCCTGTCGATATAGAATGCAGAACACTGATGTAGATAAAATATAAAACATACAAATAATGACCGTGCTCCAAGAATTTTTTATATTTTTCGATGAAAATTTTTGTGTTATCAAGCATACATCTTTCGAACATAGGAACGATTATAAAATATATCGAGCAAAGCAGAGAAAAAAATTCGCGGAGGAGAGGCTTTTTTCGTACCCTCGTTCTCTAACCCTTACGAAATCAGTCGAGGAGCCAAGCCCAAGGCCCAAGCTTCAAATAATTTCTATCCTAATAATTTTGGATACGTATCACCCGAGTCGTGAATCGTGGAAGTTTAACAACTCTCGGTAAGATTCAAGCGGTACAATAAATTCTTCCAGCGTCGTATCTCCCATCTCCTTTTCTCGTCAGACTCTTTCAATCCTCCCTCGCGAAAGTCAGCGAACAATAACAGTTCTAGACGCGGGTAGGAAGGTCTCTCGAGCGGAGAATCGAACCTGGACACCTTCCATCCTTGAGGGTGGAAGATTTCGTATCGGATCGGACGAGGAAAGCTGAAAATACGGGGAGGTCAAGTAGCAGCGGAGAGATACGTTTGAGATAACAACGGCAGGCCGATGTCAAGGCGACCGTGACACGGCGAGACACGTCTCGATAAGGACGGGACGGAGAATTACACGGCGGACGGTAAATTGCTGGGAAACGTCTTGAAACTTCCTTGATTGACTGATATATCGTCGTCGACGCCGTGGAAGGACGTGTGCCGCAAGGACCCTTTCGGTACCGTGTGGAACACCTTAAATGGCGCCACCGGCGTGCTTTGCTGGCCAACTGACGCTGCACCGGCTATTAATCGATAAGGAATTACACGCATAAATACGGTATCTTATTAAGATACATCAATGTCCGCCGTTTCCATTATCGTGCCGCTTTTAACGTTGCACGCCGAGGACGCGGAAACGTCCCGAGTGGGCTTAAGATTCTCGTTTGCGTTTTATTTTCTCCATTCCACTTACGGGCTTGGTGGCACTCGACTCCTTTTCCCCGTTTCCGATAAAGGAAATGGGGTTGTCGAGATTAGACGGCCCTTCGCCGCGTTCGCGGTGAATTAAAAGAGGATTGCGAGATTGTTTCGACGAGGGCCACATCGAAAACTCTCCTGGGGTCATTCCAGAATCGTTTCGCGACGATGATGACATTTTTAAGGGCCTCGAGACCAACCAGAATGGAGAGTTTATACCAGGTATGGTACTTTATTTTATAATTCCTGTTTTGTATTCATTTGTGTGCGAATGAAATTTCTGGTGTCCTCGATACCGTGTGTGAAGTCAGGAACAATGGTACTTTTCATCCAAACTACAATTTGGCTTCTTCTTGTTGTTTCTCTTTTTATAATTAATCCTCTGAAGATGCAGGATATTACAAAGTACATTTAAAGTAAGACTGATTATGTTTGATTCTTGTTACCGTTTTCTTTATAAATCACCATATGAACGTGAATAATATAATAAAGTACATTTAAAGTAAGACACGTTAAATTAGTTCATGAAGTAATGGTTTCATAAGTGAAGTCGATTTACTAAATACATTAGAGAATTCAGGCAAAAATGAATTTTGTACATATGTTTGTGCCCTTATGTGAATAAAAAGATAGCATAAGTGGTTCTAAAAGGAAAATGTAAATGGTTTCTGTATACCAACAAAATTATACCACCTTATCAAACACATACGTCTTGAACGCTCACAAATTAATGTAATTAATTATTGCCCGTACCGATTTGCAACTAAACTCCTCAAATACGAGCAACCATTATGAAGAAGCAAATAAATATTTCACGATCAATTCCCTTATTAATTCGCTACGGAAAAGCATCGCTCGCTTTCATCATATTTCCGCGGCTGAATGTATTCCCGAAAAGTTACTTTATCGCGCGTATGCTTAAATATTTCAAACCAAGGCCAAATGTTCGATCAAAAGCTGCAAAACTGTGTCACGGATGTGCCCCGCCAACTCGGGCCTTCTCGCTCTTTTTTTTTTTTTTTCCTTTCGAAAGTTTCCACCCACGTTGCCGTTCACGTTCTCCGGGAAACAGTGACGCACGAATTTCTCCCTTTGTTATTTCTTTCGTACGTAATTGTATTTTCGCTGCGCCAAATGGCACGTTTCGCTCAGCACGCTTCGCTCCACCCCGGAACAAACAACGTGAACGACATGATCGGGGCTCTGTTTCGACGCGTGTTTCGATTCAAAGTTGCGATTCGCTTCCGAACGTCTCGAGTCACGAGTTTGTAACGTTTCTCTTCGGATTTAATGGTCTTTGGAGAATTGGAGAATGAGAGGAGACGTTCGGGTATTGTTTTACTGGAAAAGATACGAATGTAAGGATGATACGTGGGAAGAAAGAACTTTAGAAATGAATTTATTAAAGATAGGATTTTATTGTTTTTATTTGTTTGGAGGTTCAGTTGTTCGTCTTGGTTGGATTAAATAGTTTTCAGAGGATTGGATAATAAAAGAAGATACTGGAGAAGATGCAAATTTGACAAAGCTGGGTAGAAAGAGTTTTAAGTGTCACCAATTTAGAAAGGCAGGATATTTCATTCTCTTGTTTCCATTTGTTCAATGATTTTCTAGTTTTCAACCTATTAGAGACACGTTACTGCTCAAAAGTCTGCGATCATCTGTGTTTCTTATATTTTATAGCACAATCGCTAATGTAACACGGAGTATTCAATTAATTTCTAGTTTTATAATATTATGAACCTCGGTATAATGTTCTTTCTGTATCCAATGAAATAAATTATACAACCACAGAAGTTAAGGTAAACTTTGTCGATTGGAAAAATTATTTTTAGCGACGCATCATTTTCCTGCGTTTGTGCTTCAAAATATCCGCTCGCTTTAAAATTGCAGTACCGGGTTCTTTGAATCGAGATCCGAAGCTTGAAAAGCCTGCTACGTATTCGACGCGGCTCGCATGGAGTCAAGGAAATACCCATAAATTTATAATGGGAGGAGGGGGGGGGGGGGAAAAATTCAAAAAAACGGTCCCAGAAGCGAGCGGGAGAATACAAATGTTTTCCCGTTGAAAGCCTCACAGATCACATTCCACCGGCACGAGTTGTCTCTCGCAGAGCTCGTCGTGCCTGGAATCCTTAAAAAGAAAAAGAAAAAAGAAATAAAATACAAGTTATTCGACTTGTCTCGCACTTGAATGTAAAAAATAAATTTTGTGAAGTTTCACGATGATCATAATCCGTACATATGTTGAAACAAATAAAAGTGGATGGCGATGCGTTGAAAGCAGTCATAAGTAACTCATAATTTTTATATTTCAATTGAATGGAAACGGAGAAAGGAATATCTTTCTCGTCATTTAATATTATTTTGTTGGTTTGTTACTACAGGCAACGCAAGAGCACTCGAAACCCTATCGTCTTTATTATAATTTACATTTTATCGCTTATGACTTTAGATTGAAAAAAAAAACTTCCTTTTTACAGGACTTTGTAATAAGTATAGAGCAATTTTACTTTCATAACCCTCTGTCTTACTTCAAGTGACCTTTTTATTTTTTATCTTGAGAAACACGTTAAGATGAATTAAGACAAAGTATCTCCTGGCTGAAAAGTACAATTGTCCTTGGTTACATCATTGATACTTGCCTTCTGGTATTTGTTCTTCCATTTCTCATTTCTTTTTTACATTACTTATTGAATCTTATCTACACCTTACCATATCGTTCTAGATAAAATTTGTAATTTTGCTTGTTTGAACAGACCCCAAAGATCGACGCCAATAAACCATATTTAGAATTCTATTACAAAAAATAAACCATACTCCAAGAAAGTGGCCCGTATCGCTAAGAAGGTTAACACTAAATCTACCAACTCAGTCAATTCCATCCAATGACAATGGTTTCACCCTTATTCCATCCTTCGTCTTCAATACAAAGATACGGTTGTGCGTCTGATAAATATGCGTTGACCTCGGTAGTTTTAACGTTAACTGGTCCTAGTATCAACAGAATCGCACCACCGACACGACGGATACGAACCCTTCGGCAAACTTAGCTTTCTCAGATGAGAGATCGTTTGCAAGCACGGCTGTACCTCGACGTGCCTGGAACCTCTCCAAACTTTCCACCTGGTCTCCCTTCTGGATCTCCACCGCGGTAATTCGCGTCCACTGCCGACGCGGCGGAGTACGTGCACGGCCGTGGTTCTCGTGGCGTCGGAAACGCCCCGAAACGGTCCTCTTCTGCCTTCGACGTCGCGCGTTCACCGATCCTAACCAACCAGAACGGGCACGCCAACCTCGCAGACGGTGACACGTCCGGGAATCCAGCGACGACTTCTCATAATCCTTCGACCTTGGATTTCCCGCGACGACAAACGCCGCGTACGTGCTCGGGACACGCGGCAGCCTCGTTGGTTATCGCCTTTCGCGCGGCAAAAAAAAAAATCTTGTCGAAAAAATTGTACGGACGGGGTAGAAAAAAAAAAGGTCGGTCAAAATGACATACGAGGAATGCCAGGGGGGAAGAATTTAGACAAAGGATTGGCGTGGCCCGCGGCGCTCCGCTTGACGTTCGCCGATCCCGAGTGAAAACGACCGATCGATCCTCGAAACCGTCAACTTGGAGCCGTCAGCGAGCGGTTTCAGAGACGACGACGCGATGTTGCTGCGAATCGATCGTTTTCACGCCGACGAGGAAGAGAAACGATCGCTTGTCAACGCGGGGTACCGTTGTCGAATGAAGAGACATCGGGACTCCTATCGAGTTTCCTACTGTGATCTCTTCGCGCGATGGTTCCTTAACTTTAAAGGGTATTCACATTTAGAGGGGTCTTTTTAGAAACTCTTTAGGGGGAAAGATTGCTTGGTAATTGTAGATGGGGGATCTTCTTGAGGGATCCAATTTTATTTGGAGGCCTTGACTTAAGGGCAACATTTGGGACAAAAGGAATTAAATTGAATTTAACTTCGTCTTATCTTATTTTTTATATTCTATATACTTATGGATTTGTACCCATTTTTTTATATTAACGCTTGCCCTAAATACATAAATATCCACAATTCAATCACGAATATACGTGCATTAGCATAATTTATCCGCGATCTCCTCGGTCTCTCGTATTCCACCCCACGTTTCGCAGAACAAGCACGAGACTTTTCATCGAGGAATGAAGTGGTAATCGAATATATTTTCGCTACGAGGATCATTTTTATTCGTCAGTCCGTGAACGCTCGTTTCCAGCACGTTACACCGCAAAACATGATACGCTACACTAAAATCGACACCAGTAAAAAGCGCAAAAAGGCGTACGATATAGATCGGCGCAACCCAATACCCGCAAATTATTAGCCACCGGCACGAGAACATATTATTTTACGATTCTAGACACAATGTAAACTTCATTGATTTTGTTCTTCATCTTAAAACCGTATCGTCTTGCCTCGTCGAAGTCGCGAGGGAAGCTTGATACACCCTGATGCTCTCGGGAAGCGATCAACCCCCTTCGGCAGAGGATGGGTCAATGTGTAGTCAACTACGGTCGCTCCTCTCCTTCCTAAACTCTCGTACCCTCCCGTGACGTCACTGGATCGTGTCAGTAGGTCAGAACCTGGTTACGTGTGCGCCCCTGTTTGTTCAATCTACTGGGTGTTCGCAAATTGCATTTTCCTTTCGGAGTTTCCGGCGAAGTACACATAACCGCTAAACGTGTTGCTCTTCTTCATACGTGACGCTCGTTTCGGGGTGCAGTTAACATCAAAGATGGTAGCGGGACAAATGTTGCGGGGGTTTCATAGTCCTGGTACATGCTTATTTGTATGTCACAGTTGGCAAATTTTGTTAAATGATGGACTTTGGTCCAAAGGAGACTATGCCGAATCCTATGAGTCTGTGTCATGCCTCATGAGTCCAACATTGTCTATATCCAGCTTCATGAGTTCCAAATCGTCTGTATCGAGTCTCATGAGTCCCAAATTGTCTGTGTCGAGTCCCATGAGTCCCAAATTGTCTGTGTCGAGTCCCATGAGTCTCAAATCATCTGTATCGAGTCTTATGAGTCCCAAATTGTCTGTGTCGAGTCCCATGAGTCCCAAATCATCTGTATCGAGTCTTATGAGTCCCAAATTGTCTGTATCGAGTCTTATGAGTCCCAAATCGTCTTTATCAAGTTCCATGAGTCCCAAATCATCTGTATCGAGCCTCGCGAGACCCATGAGTCTCAAATCATATTCTCCCGTGTAATCTCTTACAGGCTTACCATCACCGGTATCAGATCCTAGGAGTCCGAAGACATTCATGCTAAGCCGGTGCGTGACGTTAATGTAACGCGAACGAAAAATTATATTCGTTCGATTAACCACTTTACGCGTCACTATCCGAACGCAGCTTTTCCTCCAAGATAAAGGTTAAAGTTTATCGAGTCTTTGCGACCTTAGCAATTTACCGCGGTCGTTAATTTCTTCCGCAACGTTACTCCCTTATGCGAGACAAATTTTCCTACAGTCTGCGTCTGACGGTGTGTGTATTCTATGTGACAACGTTAGCTCGCCTTTGATCACGACTCTCTTCCCCTTCGTTTTAATAAAGTTGCCTGAAGATTGCGCAGGATGGTATTCCCGTGTCAACAACATAGAATTTTATAATGATCTAGCTCCAGTCGCACCTTTAAAAGTATCTCGAAAAAGGCTGTCTGTTATGTCAGAAAATATTCTAAATATAACAAAACGTGTTCATTCAAATTATAGCGTGTTTGGACCACGATTAGCCGATATATAATATCGTTTGTACACAATTAACTTCCCAAAATGGAAAATTCGTGCCAAACTCTACAAAACCTCGACAGGAATATTTATATTCGAGTAAAAAATGTATTCGTAAGTCACCTTCTGTCCAAACGTGTATATTTCAAACCACTCTACCACAAATTTTAATTATCCCTTCTGACATTATCCTACACGACGTATCCTTAAATCAATATTAATAATACAGTCGAATGCACAAAACCTACCATTAAATACACTCTCGCGTGTGTATCATAACGTGTATTCGATTAGAAGATAACATCGAACGCGTACGAGACGAATTATCAACGAATCAAAACACACGCGAGCTATGATTAACGAGTGATCATCAGATGACGGGATAACGAAGCTTATCGTCCCATCTCTGGAGGAAGGAACGGGCATGCAAATCGGTGAGTCGGACATGCGGCCTTGCCACGTGTTCTTTTAACGCTGCATTCGGCTTGAAAGCCGATTAACGAAAGCAGAGTTAACGACGTTGTTACACGGGAAAGTAATCTGGCACGTTTTACGCGAGACTCGTGGGTGTGAGCGTTGTAACTATGCATCTAAACGGTTGCTAATGCTGCTCGTTTCTTTTTTACGGGTCACCTAATATTCCTACGAGAGGTTTTTGAACGTTTTGGATTTGTTTTGAGTAGGTGAATAGATGGATAGTTGGATATATAGATAGATAAATACATAGAGGTAAAAACAAATCCAACAAGCTATAATACTACGTCATCTCTCGAATTTATGAATTTGTCGTACCCATAACGTTGACTTAGGTCGCAGTTGGTTCATAAGCATCTCGTAATCAAACACATGAGTGACCATAAATCAGTGTGTCGCACAATATTCCACCATTGCACCCTGCACAGATACTCGACAACGCAAAAATCGGAGGAAAATGTACCAACTACCAGAACCCTGCGGGCCAGATTACAAAGTTACCTCGGAAAAGGATCAATTATCGAGAAGGTGTCGTCTCGAAAGTACCGTGGAGACGAGAAAATTTGTCGAGAAGAGCTTCACGAGGAGCGTCATCGATTACGTCTTCCCAAGAAGTCGATTTGCAATGCAGATGCACGGAAGAAAGGGTCGGTGGATGGGAGCCAATATTATACGTAAATCCCCGCCATAGATGAAAACATTAAACGAGATGGAATGGGAATGTCGCAAGGTGGAATATTAGCTTAGGTGATTTATGGTCGGGCCAGCTTTTGGGTTTTGTGTCTTACGCTCGTAATGGCCAGTAACGCGACGATGATGCGCGCAATTATCTCGCTGTTGTTCGTACAGCGGCTTCCGAAGACAGCCTCGAGGAACCGAGCAAAAAGACGAACAGACCTCGCTGCGGTCGCGGCACCACTGACCTTGGTCTGGAAAGCACGTCGCAGTCGATCCGAGGCAGAAATTGCACTGGGATCACCTCGGCGTGCACCTTCGAATTCCAAATGCACGGTTAAATTGCAAAAATATCGTCGACGGTTCTTGCGACGACGTCCATCGAATGATTTGGTTATGAGTCGAGGGCTGGCTGCGAATTGTAACGTGACGTCTTCATCGATTTTCATATTTCATTCGTTCTTTTGAATTTTCCAGTTTCTTCTCTATCGTGGTAGAACTAGATTCTGCAAAAGAAATTACGTATTTTAATAAGGATTTTCAAATTCTATCATTTTTCGTGCATCTCCCCTTAAAAAACACACCTATCTTGAATAACTTTTCATTAAGGACCTGAAATGATGATTCCAAAAGTGAGACGATGATGAAGATAAATGCGTATAGGAATCTGCGAATTTGCAGAGGTTAAACAATGAAATACAACAACAAGGGTGAAATGATCTAATCTTTAACAGTCTCGAGACAAAATCGTAATTTTGTAAAAATGTAACTTTGTAAAGTTGTAACTTTGGTCGAAGGGCGCTCGCGGCGCGGCCGCAAATTTTCGACGTAGCAACATTCCGATCGTTACACGCGGTCAACGTTGCACCGACATTGAACCAGTGCAATGCTGCAATGCAGGTGGACCAGCCGGTGCAGTGCTCGAAGATGCGTAGGAAGTCGGAGGAGGCCGGGAGGCCACCGTCCACCGCAAATCTCTCGCTGCTCCCGCAGATGTTATCTCCGCCGCAAGATATCTGGGACTCTGTCTCCCTTCGTAGAACACCTACTCGAATGCCCGCTCCGCGAGGAATCATTCCGCGAGGAATCATCCCGCTCGCATGGAATAGGAGGAGACGATGAAGAAATGGGTGGAGAACGAATGTCACGGGAAACAAGGACGAGCCCGATAGGAAGGGACAGGACGTTTCACAACCCTTTGTCTCGAGACTGGTATATACGCGCGGTATATCCGTCTGACGGTGGATAATTCATTGTGACTAATGGAACCAGGATCCAGGGGACCGACCGTTGATAGGCTTCGGTCAGTTTTCTAATCCCCTTTTTGTTGCTTATCAATTCGAACGGGATACGAGGCGGATCGAAGTCAACTGCTCGACTCCTGCGAATCGACTTAACCCATTCACTGCCAGGCAAATTTAAAGCGTTTTGCCTCGGACACCCCAGATTTAATACGGATGTCCGATCTAGATTATTATTTTGACAATTAGAAGTGATGTTAAAGTTTTAGACTCCTTTCAGACCTGAATTACTTTTTTCTTCTCGTACTAATGTCATTTAATTTTTACGGTTAACTTGGACTAAAATTAGTATGGAAAAAATAAAAGGAAAATTCTAATAGTGTAGCTTACGAGAAAAACTGATCTTTCTTCGTGTGCACCAATGAGGACATTCGACCTAAATGAATAATTTCAATCTATTTGTTGGGGTTTATCGAACATATATTGAGTAATAAAATAAAATAATTTTTATTCAGATTTTTTAAATAAAATAGGAACGCAGAAACCCGCGTACCGATAGTGTCGGTAATTTTTAAATTTTGTGTCAATTGTGGGCGCCAGGAAAATTTACGATCTTCTTTTGCAATAATTCTGGACTCAACAGGCTATAAACTTATCCCTTGAGTAATCAATTTGAACTTCGGGACATCTCGTAGTCGGCAGCGAATGGGTTAAAGGGGTTTTTGAACCAAACAAAAATTTTCACGAGTTTTAGCCTGACGGTTAACTAACAAACGTATTCAATGTTGAATTATGACAAACCCAGGCCGATGTTATTTTTCCTCTCAGACTGTAATATATTCCACGTCTGAAGAGGCCCATAAAAGCTGGTCAAAATATTTTGTTCCTAAATATATACGTCAACCATGCCCATCATTCTTTTTGAATGCTGTTACAAGAATCAGAATCTGACGTTGAGCGTCCTATAAACATAAAATCTGAAAATATGGAATCACAACGAAAACCACGATAAGATCAGCCGTGGAATTCCTTTCTCTCTCGAGAGGGAGTTTGGTAGAATAACACGCTTGTTATTGAAGTTTCCGTGAAAAGAAGAACGGAGTCGCTCAAACAAACATTTCGACGAATACAGAATGGCGCATCGTTTCCACTCGAACCCACCGCACCCTGATTCGCAATCGAACAAAGTTTCGTTTCATCGATCAAACTTTTCCCACGAACCAGATTTAAATTAGCCCGCGGTGTATCGTACACCGGTCTGTCTTTCAACGAAATTGAAACGAGGCATTAGAGACAAACAGCTCGACGCCTGCCGTGATTCATGATCGTCCTTGGAGAATCAGCTCCATCCTTGAACTCCTGGATTCAATTTCGCTTCGTCCTGTTACGGAATCTTCTAGCGCCACGTTGATTCGCGTCACATTCAAATTTTTCATCGTCGCCTTACTTGTGAAATTAATTTTTTTAGTCCCCAATGAAAAGTCTTGTCGCCCATATCTTGTGTAGAAAAATAGAAAAAATTGAATTTTGAATGCGGAGGATGTATTAGGGGTAGAAATTAATTCTGTGCCTAAGCAATCATTTGTAATTAAACTGAAGATGTTTATGCATTCATGCCAAATGAATATGTATATTTCAAATATCAACAATAACATACATTAAACTTTAAACATTAAACTCATATGTTATCTAAAAGAATAATCACGTCTTGATCGAATGAAAATAAGAGAAATTACAATAATGACACTAATCGAACCTTCCGCGAGAATGTACAAAACATTATTTCCGGGTTGAGTGGTGATTCCGTTTGAATCGAATCGAAAGTAAAGGAGAAGTTATTACACTTACCCTTACACGTTTTAATTAGGGTAGAGAGAACCGTCGGTGCAATTGGCTCGAAGATCCTGGGCGCTCCTAGGAGTTTCTCTATTTACGGGGCAGTAAAGGTATCCCCCCTGCGTGCAGCCTCTGCAAAAGGTGTCACGGCTTCGAGACGAATGTAGGTCGTGACTCACGCGTTCCCCTGGTTCGGTGCATTCGCACCGGTTGGAAGTTATGGGGCAAAGAAAAGAGCCATTGCTGCGCCTTGGTGGAACTGGAATGTCAGTCGATCGATTTTGCACCCGGATAATAAAGGGACTGAAAGTAAGAACGACGTGTGGTCTCTTGCGCGCACTCGTGGCCACGTTTACACGCGCAATTACGGTCGCGGTAATGAATAGATGCTTGATAATGCGCGTTGCACGTAGGAGACAATGCCGGTGGCGCTGCTCGTAATTACCAGTGATTTAATGCGGAGCGGCCGTGAGCCATTGCCTTTCAGTCGATCTTTTACCTGCTAGTTTCCGCTACCTGTTTCTAAGTGCTTGTACCTGCGTCTGAACGACACAGGTTCAATTATTCTCATTAACCCTTTCGTTCCTCGCAATTGAGGGCATAATAGGAGGGAATGTCCTTATTTGTGGATACGAAGAAAGACCACTTTTCCTAGAAAACTACACTATTAGGTTCTTTTTTATTTTTTCTATACTAATTTTAGTCCAAGTTAACCCTGAAAATTAAATTACATTAGTACGAGAAAAAGAAATAATACAGGTATGGAAGGGCTAAGCCTTCTCTTGCGCGACTATACGGAGTGTCTCGGGAAGGGGATGATTTAAAACAATTTTTAACGCGGATATTATGGCGATGTAGGATCGTGTGATTGTAGAGTTTTGAACCAGCATTGATGCAGTAATTAATACATTCAAGATTAGATACCCAAATAAAATGAATTTTGGACACGAATGCGGAGGGTGCATTAGTGGTTATAATTAGACTAGAAATATTTATGTATTCATACCGAACGAAAAAATATTTTAAATATCAACAATAATATACACGATAAGATACACTATCATTTAAGTTTCGTTTCTATTTCTGCATCTGTGAAAATATGAATTCGCACAATTATTTACAGTTCAGTTACACGTTTTAGTAAATAATCGAACTTAAAGGCACAAAATTAATTTCTACACGTAATACATACCAAAAGAAAAGAATAAGAAACATGTCGTCCCTATGAAAAACCCTATTTCACATCGATATACCATCTTTACCCAAAGACATCCAGAGAAAGCTGAGCGTGCCAATTCCACCTTTCCACTTGCACCCACTGTGCATTCCGGGATCGCAGTGGAAGTCCCCGGGATCCGTGGACAAGTCAGGTGAGAGCAAACGGTGTTCTATCAGGGCGAAGCACACGGTCTTTCGCAATCGGTTCGCCAATCCTTGGCTGACCCCGTGAAACGAGCGCCGGTGTCTCTATTCCCGGGACCTTCTCGTCGAGCGCGTGCAGGAACATGTAGGCGGTTAGGTGAGCAGTCGTCGTGGTATCAGGGGAGCAGACAGGTAGAAAGAGAGTGGACAAAGGCGAAAGGAGTAGGACGGCTGGTATACCGAGCAAGATGAACAAGATGGGAGCAGATGGAGGACGAGGGGGCAAGAGAACGAGTAAAACGCGGAGAAAGAGAGAAAGAAAGAGGAATGGTGGGGTTGGTACGAGCGGCTCAAGCACGTGGAGCCTACTCCGTGTGTCTCGTTCAGTAGTGCTCTCGGTTGCCTTCGAACGATTTCGCACACCGGATGTCCATCGAGCCTCATCGGCGTGTTCAGCTCGGCCTGTCCGCTCAGACATCGCGATCGAAACAATCGAGGATGTGACCCGTTTCGTCGCGAGGAAACTCTTCACCGCAGACGAACCGATCGAAGGATAGCCACCAGCGATGGGTCTGATACCAAAAATCCTGTTGACGTGCACGTTGATCGTTCTCCCGATTGAGGTTGCCTCCGTCGAGCGCTTCACCAGCGACCATCAAGGATACGCGAGTCATCGGATGATCCTGCCTCTCTGGTACCACGAGAAACAGCCGCGTAGACACGATCGCGACGGCAGGGGCCTTCAGCAGGCTACCACGAAGAGCTGGTCGCGCCAGGACCTCTTCACGGAGAGACCCAGCACGACGTTCGCGCCGCAATCGGCACCTGGTGCGTCGAGACATCGCGCGGAGCAACGTTCACGCGAACAACGACCTGGTCCAACGAGACACGAGAAATTCAGCGCAGTCGCGGTGGCGGAATACGGCGGTACCAGGGCTGTCGCCTACGCCGGTTATCACAATAATCATCGCCACCAGCCGAGGGAAACCGTCACTCAGGGCTATCAGCATCTCGCGACAACGCCGACGACGTACACCAAGCATCATCCCGGGTGAGTGAATAATTCAGCTTTGACGACGAGAGCGCGAGCTGGATGGTTTGATAGGATCGTTGAATACGAGAGTGTGCCTTGCGATGGGTAAGCGTTGCGTACAGTAACTAGCAGTCGAAAGCCGCGTGTGATCATTTCAGGGTTGACACTTTAATGCTAGGCTTGCAGAACACGTAAATTGGCTCGTTCTGATTTTTCTGACGCGTAAAGGGACAAGAAAACGTCCATATTACTTCAGTAGTAGATTTAAATCGAGGGAAGATGACACGAAAATTGTCTACATTAAAGAGCACAATACTGTCAAATTGATATACGAATAGATTACTTTGTGTACCTTTCTCGAAAGATATACACTTATAGAAAGTTGTATCAAAGTTTGAGAAGGATTGAGAAAGCCTCGAGTGTGGGACAGTATCAAGGCCAGACTGGAGACAATGTTAAGCCAAGGCTACTGAAACTTTAAATATTTTTAAACAATTAAATATTTCAACCTGTTGAAGGTTGAGCTTGAGCTTGAGAAGTCGAGAAACAATCCCACGTCAGACCATAGCTACAGGTATCTAGTTAAAGAAAATCGTTGATTTGTTTATTTAAAGTATATCCTGTGGTACCAAGACTATCAACTGGCCTCCAGTGTCTCTTTTCTTTCTGCAGTGTTCTTTTGTGCACCCTGTACAATCGAATACCGCATCTTCTTCTTCTTCTTCTTCTTATTTTTCTCCTAAGTTCTTTTCTAAACAACCACCCCTTGCAAACGGCCTGCCCAGGCCTATCCACAACCGGAAACGCAGAAATTGCTCGAAGATATCGACGATTCCAGTTTAATTATTCGCACCGTTATCTGGTCCGTCGGTGCTAATAACAGTTCGTTCCAGATGCCTTGCATCGCCCTGCAACTTAACGATGTTCTTGCGGTTCGAAGAATGAAAGCAAACACGTGTACAGTTTGCCCATTAAAATCGCGCTGGTGGATCATTTTTCATTTGGATGACGCGGAACCTTTTTCCATTCCCCGACAGAAATTAACGACGAAGAATGCATTTCATAAAATATCAACGTCGATATCGATACGTTTCGACAGGATCAAACTTTCTCGTTCAAACGAAATTTCTCGTTAACTCGTTAGAATTCAAAGGAAGCAATTAACTCTACCCGTGATCAAAGACATTCGATATTCGATATTCGATATCCGATATTCGCTAGCCCTTAATACAGTGATTCTTGAGCAACGCGCCGCGAAACAGGCTACACAGTGCGAATGTTTGATTATAAATTTGGAGAAGCATTGATTTACACGATGTAATTAAAATGATACTTGAATGATTCACTGTGATACTTAATCATTTCATATGTCAGGAATAGACTGTTTCAAACCACGCACTATTTGTACCAGTCTACTCTAAGTTTTGAGTCGACATCAGATCCTGTGACAAATGTGACAATTTAAGTCATTGAGATCGCATAAAGAAGTGTGGCAGTCTTACAGAAACCCACGATGGAATGCAAGCAATTATTAATATAAATTAATTTAATGCCTACATTTAATTGTCTCATTTGAACATATAAATATTGCTTATCTTAGGACTGTCTAATATTTCTGACTCGTACTTTTTTTAAATAGTTAGTACAATCGTGCATGACACGGAAGTAAGTCAAGTTTTAGTTCACTGAACCGTAACATGAGCTAAAAAATATCGCGAGCAGTAAAGAACCACTGCTCTCAAGCTACGAAGCAGAGACGAAGAAAATGGAATCACTCAAACGCCCTTCCGTTTACTTCCACGCCAAAAGGAAATTATCGTTAGAAGTATCGATGCGAATCAGAGTTTACCGCCGAGTCTGAGCAAACCGAATCCTGGCGGAGTAAATACCAGACAGATCAGGAAGCACATTTCGCCAAATTGCGCAATAAAATGGTCAGCGTGCAGCCATTGTGTTAGACGGAACCGAAACCCACACAAAAGGGCGCAGTGAACTTCGGTACAACATGCTCGATACAACCAAATCTATTTCTTCAACCATCCAGCTACAGTGTCAATCAAAATTGTAGAATTTGGTGGAACCGCCATTTTTCATTTCTGAAGTTTGAGTTCAGATTCGTAATCAGCGATCTCGAAAACCTTCGAATAATAACTTTCATCCAAATCGAGTCATTTTTCGCATTTTGGTCCGCCGTATTGAACTTTTAAATTCTTAGTTCAACAGTTGCTATGTTTATTTTAAAATATACATATCCCGCTTTTAATAAATAAAACAAATATCTAACATATGACTATATGACACGAATATTTATATACCGAAAAGACGAATATTTAATGAATGTATTAAAGATTCAAATAGACGATATGCCCTACCATTTTGTCCGACACTGTACTCACGGACTGAAATACGTACTTCGCCCACCTTTTTGCAGAAAATGGAACGCTTTGGCGTCCACAACCACCCTCGAGCCGCGGACGTAGGTGTCCGATATCAAAAGGCGAACGCAGACGGTGAATCGAAGCTAAATTCGAGCGGAAAAGTTTACGACCTGTCGGTTAAAGCGCAACTCACGCGTTTAAATGAGCCGACGTGCACGGTTAACTGCGGGTCACGGAATTATAATACGCAACGTTAATTGATGACGTCGAGCCCGCAACCTTTCCCATGCGTTTTAACACAGATTGCTAATCTGACATCGCTTTGTACCCCTTCGACAAAGAGTGTCCATTTACAATGGTTCCTTAATTTCGACTCGCAATCCCTCATCGATCGCCGACATGGCCTACTGGCTGCTAACAGTTTCTCCTTCGATTTCCATGTATCATGCGCTTGGCATTTACATGTACATTATGTCTGTCGAGTGCTACAAGTATCGTGGAGGGAAATGAATTTTAGAGTTTTGCCTCGAAACGAAGACACTGCTCGACGGGTCTTGAGAGATTTCACCTTTCATTTCTTGAGAAATTCAATCATTCAGGTCTGAGTGAGAAAAGACGAGAAATTGGAGATGCAGTTCAATCTTGGTGATTTGAACCTCGAGGGAAGAGTTGAAATCTTTGAATTATGGAGGCTTCTCATCGAAGCTTTGAGCAAGAGAGGTTTAATAAACGAAAATTCAACATATCGAGACTTTCTAATTACGAGGTCTTAAAAAACAAATAATAACATTATAATGACGATGAGGACGTTCAATTTAACATCCTGATGCGACGTTAAATCTATCCAACAGAAAAAGAAATATTGTCGAATCTCCTAAAGAGATTATTTTCAACAAATTTTGTTTTGTATTAATCTACTCGTCTTCAATTCTTGAAAATGAGTAACATACCCACACGTAATACAGTAGTACCTCGATCATTTATTTTGAACGATCGAGAAAGCAATGTAGCACATGAAACCCCTCAGAGGCTGTAGCGGTGTTTGTGGCTACGGTACGGACTTAGCAACCCCGAGGTTTCCGAGCTAGAGGGAGGCCAGCTGGCCCCAATAAATGAGAAGCAAGAGATACTGCAAACGGTATTAAAACAATGCAGGAGTCAATGCACGAGTCAAAAGACGATGATAAGAAGAATGGAAATAAGCTAGTAATAAGTAAGCAGTAGTGCAATAACTCTATATAATAAGTTACGCACTTTAAATAAACGAATGAATGAATGTAGCATCGAAACTAGAACTTCCCATTAATCCAGCGTTATCGGGGAATAATATCCACAGTGTCTCCTGCGAGAAGTAAGGGCATTGTTAAGAAAACATAACCGTGATCGGGCGAGTTATGGTCGTCGCGCATGAGCAATCGCGTAGCTTTAATTGGCGTCCGATTTCGCTCGAAGCCGCGCGAAAGTAATATTATTACGTGAAAACCTTTGCGGGGGACGCCCCCCGCCGTCGCGCACCGACGATCCCAGTGATTGCACGTGACAGAGGAACGCGTTACGCGCGAGATAATTAATCGGTCGATTAATTAAGCGGCAAAAGCGAGCCCGCCCGTGATCGGCGATCCTTTTGACGGAAGGCAAGCACGGTTTATCTGATAAATAACCGGACGGACTGCGTAAAAACCGACGGAAATGCTTGAATTGGTATAAACCTCTTTTCACGTTCGAAATGCACGTTTAAATGACTCGAGTATGCAGAATCTCGAAGTGGGTAGTTACGTGTAATTGAACATTATTAATGCTGAACATGCTAAACGAAAGCAAAAGGTACGCGCACTTGTGCAAAAGAAAATATTAATTTATTAAATTGTGTAGTAGATTATATGTAACGTAATCCACTTAAATTCATAAAATCTGCAGTGTAGTGGTAATTAATTTTTTAAATAAATTATAGGTTACGAAATGGAAGTTACAGACTGCAGATTTCTATGCATTTATGGGAAATCTGAATTTTCAAGGAACTACAAGATGGACACAGTGTGCAATAAGTGTTTTAATAAGAGCATTTTCAAGTAATGGAACAAGTGTGTTGTAATTTGAGAAAAATGAAATAAAATGAATTCAATTTATATGTATTGCAATACAGAAGAGAAACAATATTCAGTTCAGTGATGATGAAAAAGTATGAAATAAATGGAACGAAATTAAATAAAATTAATAGAATATATGTAGATGACTTCATATATAGAATGCAATACAGAGAAACAAATATCGTCCGATCTTCCAATGAAATTATTTTCACGAGTTTTTATTTTATCGACAGTGTTTAACATTTTCTCTTAATTACTCGAGCTTCGTGTCCCTCGATCGCGAATGACCATCGACCAATACTTTCCACGCAGATTCGTTCCGATCATGCACCACCACGCGGATACGTTGGGTCGTTTGTGGCTCATAAACACGGAAAGGTTGATAAATATCAGGGACACTCCTCTCGTGTCCGATGTATCAGACGCGTAATGAGATTAATCAAAAAGTGAAATCTGTGAAACGCTGCGCGGATGAATGGTATTTATCGCATTCCCCGTCGTTAACGTATGGCTCGAGTTTATCATTGAAGGTACGCGCGAGATGTTTCGCTTA